TAACAGTAGCCAGCAAGACTAGGAGCCTTGTGAGAATTCAGTATAGTCTGAATGCTAATCAAACATCATTCTTAGCACTGACTTATCTCATGTGGTTGAATTAGGAATTGTTCATTTGGGTAAGGTTTCAAATTGGCAGTCTGTCTTTCAAGTTGTAGAGCTTGGTTAAGTAGATCTGTGATTAGTCTATGCAAGTTTATATCAGCTTAAATAAGTATATTATAGAAACAGAAAAGCAGTGAAGCGATTCTATTTGTACATGAGTTTATTCAGTTGTGTTTCTAGCGACAGAAACAGAAATTAAATTGCAGTTCTCATTTACAAGACAGGAATGTCCTTAGCATGGTATTCCTTGGCATACTTTTAAGGACAACTTCTTAAAAAAATACTTCAAAATCAGCTGGTGAATTTTTAAATAATAGGAGAATAAATGATCAAACAGGTTTTCAGTTTACATTAACTAACAGTAGTGATTGTGTGGCAAAATGTCAGCCTCCTTTCAAGTAAGAAAGTAATGAACACCCAACGAAAATGCCCATCCAAGTGCAGGTATGAGCCAATGTTCAGATAGCAGGAAGTAAGGTTAGCTAAAATGACAAAATTCCAAAGGCTTTTGTGACAAACCAGGTATCAAAGAAATTGATATGAAAGATACAAATAGCAAAAGGTTCTAAATGGGCTTTAAACGAGAAGAACAAAGATTAAATTTGAAAACCAGACAGATTGTAAGGTTATGCCAAATCATGAAAATTAATGTAAGTCCTGAGGGCTATAAAGTGATTCAGGCACATTGGGATACTGCAGAGAAACAAAGTTATACTTTTTATAACACATGGAACTCATTTCAGTATTTAAAAAGTAATCGATGGGACTCCTGGAAATTGAAACTGTATTACTGGTGTATTAGTGGTGAACATATCCAAAAAATTGTAATAAATAAGAACTAGATGGTGCAACTGGCATGGGTCATTTGAATAAAAATCAACTTCTATACAGTCCATGATCTTCCTCCAGAACATGTTTTTGGGGTAAGAGTGAGTGTTCTCAATATTGCAGTACTTTATGACTATTGCAAACACATTCAATCTTTTGGTTACTCAGTGAAGCAAAAATGAATTAAGTTGCAGAACTTTGGAGGACAATTATTTAGGTTAATCCAAACTGAAAAAAAGTACCTGGAATCATGAAAGTTAAACAAGCTATAAATAGAACTATTGTGACAAACTTTTGCAACTGTAAAAGCAAAATAAATCACAGCAGAATAAGTAATTTAAAATATTGCTGACATGTAAATGACATGTAACTACTCTAGAGTTATCTCCCAACTTAAATAATTCTACGATTCTGTGTTCAAATGTCAAAGTTGGACCAACGGTGTGCAGGGAATTGGACCTGACTGACATGATAATGCTGTGATTTGAACTACCAACATGAGAAAAAGATACAAGCTTTAGTAAGGATTATTACCTTTATGCCTTATCTATTAACAAAATACAGCTGAGAAGTTGAAAAACTCAAATATTTTACAAATTAGAGAGTATTTAGCTAAAAACTGAAGAAATGTGTGGATAAAAAGTTCATTCTGTATTTTTAACTCTGCTTCACTATCTTCAGTTGAACAGATACAGTTCATATGAATCAGGAACGTGACAATTGTTTTCTAATGTATCTGCTTGCCTATTGATCTGACTGAGTTTTGGTTATCTCCTCTATCATTGATTTTGATTGCAGCTCGTTTTTGAGTCAACTAAAACAATATCCTGCTATCCAAAAACGGATAACAGGTTTTTAAACTACGTCTGTTGAAAATAGGACAACATTAGGAATCTTTCCACACACTGCACAAAAAAAAAAAGTAATCGGTAGGATAAGAAAGCTGTCACTTGCCTATATGGCTGTTACAGAGAGTTGTTTACTTCTTAGGGTTGCTAAAGAGCTGCTCTTAACAGGTTTTGTCCAAGAGAAAGTTGCTGTAAGGTTTCCTTTTACTGCATCTGCTCTCCCATACTTTTAAAAGTAAGTGAAGACTAACAGGAAGTTTTTCCTTCATTGTTCAAAATGATGATAAAGGTAATAAAATTTAGAGAGTTATCATAAAGTTTTCCTGAATTGTACACATATCTGTGTGTTTGATTATGGAGATGTTAATTTTATGTAAAGCATTAATAAAATAGAACATCATTGCAAATAGCCATGACCATATTTACCATTTGATTTTTAATTTTTTTTAAAAAAGACATGTTCTATGCATTGTTTCAACACACTACTGTGTGTCACGATTATTTTGTCATCAGTAACTGTTAACGGTAATCCTGAAGCATGAGGGGCTTCTGTAGCCATTTCAAAATGTCTCATTATAATAGCAACACATCCCTTGATTTGTAGTTGTGAATATTTCATTTTATGACTTTCCATTTGTTACCCATACTTTCAGTAATAGTTTCGTTATTGGGTTCCATATTGTATAGTTTTACAAAGTAAGGGACTCTTAATCTCTGTGAAATAACCGTATTATATTTTCAGTCCCTTCTCAGAAAGGAGTTATTCCTGCCTCAAACAGCACTTGCTAACACTCAACCTAGTAGTTATTTTGAACAATCAGATTGTTTGTTTTTCCTTAATGAAATACATTTTGGTTGTTTCTGATTTTGGTTTGCAACAAGTCTTGAAGTTTCATTACTATCAAACAGCCTATCACATACAGTTGAAAGCTGAAATCTGATTTTTTTTTAACAATCTTCTTTGATAGTCTTGTGATTTTGTTATATTTTAATGTAGTTTGCTATATATGCTCAGAACTTTCCTAATTATTTCTGGCCAATCTCGTTTTCTTCAAAACCTTAAGACAACCTGTGGAAATTTTTAGAAGCACACTCTTATCCTTTAAATAGGATGAAAAAATGTATTGGGTTGAAATTGGGTCAGAATTGGTCTTCTCAGGGTCAGAATGTCAAATAGTAGATTAGATTGCTCAATCAGCTTTATCACTAGCAAGATTTTCCAAATGACTGTCTTTACACATCAATGTATTTTTTCAGTGACATAATGAAGTTTAAAAGCTAGTCAGTGGTACTGTACTTAACAACAACCCACCTTTCTATATGCATATTGCATCTGTGCTTTTTCCCCTTGTTAGGTTTGCAGTGAATTTCCTTCTCTTAAAATTGGAGTCTTTTCTTTCTTCTTTTGGCTAAGATTGATGTTGCTACTTTTGCCACCCTCTTCCTTCCCACGCTGTCAGTTGAGGGGGAAAGGGTAAAAAGAGTGGAACCTCTAACATTCTTTCATACCATTCCCAAGCTAAATATTTCTTGTCTAAACTTCTACCTGATAGTTCACATCTGCACTTGCACTTCCATGGCTTCATGATGCTTTTCTTTATTGCAGCTTTCTGAAGTCATACTAATAAAATATTATCCATCATATTGTAAGAACACTTAAAGCTCAGTATTTTTACTAAATTTATGAACTTTTATTAAATCTTTTCCTGTATGTGTGATATAATAGATGATAAAAATAGGAATTGGCTTCTTGAATTAAAAAGGATCATCCATACCTGTAGTACATATTCTATGGGAAATTCTTCTAAAAAATTCCCCTTATAGTGATGTTATACAGTGCAGTGATGAAATATTGAATAGGAATCTAGATTTTCCAAATCTAGTAGAAATTAATTGAAAATATACCTAAGAATAACAAACATTCCTTATTTAAATAGCCATATCTCAGAGAGTTACTGCTGCATTTTGACTAGTCTTGGTAGGCTCACGGGTGTTAATGTAGCATTCTGGCAGTGTATGACTTAATCATGCAATTATCATACTTCTAGGACTTTGTCCCAGGTATGCTGAAATGAGTGCATGTGAAAGTGTTCTAACCTTTGGGATTTTTAACTGTTCTTAAACTCTTAAACTAATTATTCCTGCCCTGAATTGATTTTTTTGGCCATAAGATTTACTTGGTCATCAACAGTTATATGAGTTTGATTTGCTTATATTTAAAGCAGTTTTCTTTCCTAGCTGGTGAGCACTAAAGGGAGAACTAACCATCTTTGCCAGTAAACACTGCAAACAACAAAAACACTATTTTGGAGCAAATGAGCACAGTGGAAATATTACCTGAAATGTTCAGTGCTTCAAAAATGTAATGTTTTGTTTTACGTTGTCATGTATTATAATTTATTTCAGTATATGAACATAGCTTTGAATTATCAATTATGTAGACGTTTGTGTTCATGTAATTTGTAAAAACTCTTAAATAATGTTTAGTAGCTCTTAAGCCCTTCTAAAACATCCATCCCATACTATAGTTAGTATTTAAAAGATAACAAATTCTTACCTGGATGTACCTCACGTGCTTATACATTGCTTGTGCTTGTGTTTTCCTTGATCTATTTAATTTGCTGCTTATCTTCATAGTTTAAGTTCTTGAAGCCAGGAATTGTCTTTCTTTTCTTCTATCAACAGAATAGCTAATTCAGTGGTTGTAATGATGTCTGAAATGCCAAGATTTATTCCAATAAAATGTATTCAAAAGAACAGCAGAGCTGTAGTTATTTTTTTAACAATTTCTTATGCCTCAAAATATTTCTTTGTTTAATTTTTAACAACTAATTGAATTTTAGATATTTTAGATAACAAGTCTGTCCAAGTCAGCCTTACCACACAGTAATGGTGTAGTTGTATATTAAAAGGTATGAATATGTAAAGCGGAACACATTTTGTATTTTATTAATTACCAACTGCTAAGAATTCAAGGACCTTCAATTTTGTTCTACTTAAGTGCATTGTTAGATACAGTTCATATATAAGTCCAATCTAGAACTATGATTTTTATTAGATTTTTTTAATGCTATTTTGAAAAAGTAGAACAAGGGTTAGGTAGTCTTTTTGAAGTTGAAGATACAGATTAGCTGATATGTTTGGGATATTGTTTGCCAATGGTAAAGTTTATTAATAAAGTAAACTACTTGACTCATCCTAGTATGTATTTTAAAACAGGTGAGGCTAATGATAAGGATGTTCAGGTGGTGGAACTTCCCATTGTTGACAGCTTACACCCACGGCCACCTTATTTACCCTTGGCTGTCCCTGAAGACTTGGCTGATAGACTAATTCGTGTACATGGGGATCCTGCAGTGTGGTGGGTTTCACAGTTTGTGAAATACTTGATTCGTCCACAGCCTTGGCTAGAAAAAGAAATAGAGGAAGCCACAAGGAAACTTGGTTTCAAACATCCAGTGATCGGGTGGGTATTTAGTTTTCTTTTTAACTCTCTGTGCTTTAATATGTGTATGTAGTGATTTCTGTTCAGGAAAAACTGTTTTATGATGATTATCCAAGAGCCTCAAGTATTTTGTAGGGAGAGATGTAGAGATTTCTAGATGAAGCTATTATTTTTTAACTGTGCATAATACAAATTGATTACAAGTACTCCTTCAGCATACTTATCTACCTGCAGTTGGACTGATATATAAAAGGCATCTCAATAGAAGATTTTTTAACATGTCCTTTCACATCTAGTAATACAGAATTTTGTTGATTTAATTGCCTTACAGCAATTAAAGACCCAGACACTTTACTGTCTGGGTCTTCTTTTTAAGTGCCTATAGCCTTTTTCATTTGAGGAAAAGAGGCTAGGCCTACATTTTGCATGCCACAATCCACAACTAATTTTATCACTGGCTACATATGGACATGGTATGTGCCTTTTGCTTCCCTGCTGATTTTTTCACAGTTGTTGTTTCTCAGTGGTAACTATGAATTGGAATGGTCTGTATGAGGAGATATGGGGAGAAGGAAGGAAAGCACCTGTGGGCAATAAAGAGCAGCTTGTGGAAGAAAGGTTTTGCTGTCATATAACATGAAAAATGTTGCTGCTGCTCTACTAGAGTCTGCAACTACTGCTTCCTTTGCCAGAATTTTCCTTCAGACCTTAAACTTTCTTTTTGAGGAGTACACAATAGGTTTGTCCAAATGTTAGTCGGCTTTTGACCATTGAGTTGGTAGGCCCCTTCACCACAGGTGTATATGAAGACTTGTTAGGTTTCAAGAAGATTGAAAAGGTACATTTATAACAACCTTCATTCAAACCATGCATTGTAGTTGGTGTCCAAATATATCCATGATGGAAATATTCCTGGTTTCCTTTTGAGCTGTATTGATCAAGCATTATCTAGCTACAACAGATAACCTTCTGCACAGAAGAAACACCTCGTATGCTGTATTCAATGTCCTTCATTCTTTTCCTTCAGTTACCTCGTGCCTTCTTTTCAAGATTACTTTATTGCTTTCAAGAACAGACTGACAGCTAACTTCATGCTGTCACTGTCTTGAAAAACGTGGATGACTTTTAATCCTTCCTTATTTTATGTAGGAATTCAAGTAGTATGCATTCTAAAAGCACAGGCATGAAACTTAGAGTAAAAATTTCATTTGCTAAAGTGTGTATTGTATTCTACCTCTTCCCAGTGTTCACGTTCGAAGGACAGACAAAGTAGGAACAGAGGCAGCCTTTCATCCGATTGAAGAATACATGGTACATGTTGAAGAGCGGTTTGAACTTCTCGCTCGCAGAATGCAAGTTGATAAAAAGAGAGTGTATTTGGCTACAGATGACCCTTCCTTGTTGCAAGAGGCAAAGTCTAAGTAAGATGAATTATGTTTATATTACAGTTTGTTCCTTCTGGTTAGCTTTACAATTTCTGAGTATTGTGCACACCCAAGTTTTAGTATAATTTTTTTCATCCTTTTTTCAGTTCAGATTGCATTTCATTTTCCAGTGATTTTGATTTTCCTCTAAGATATGCTGCTTTTGGATTTTTTTCCCCCAAGTATGCTTTTCAGAAATTAGTGTTAAAAATCTAGAAGAGTTGAGCAAGATACCTCTGACTATTTAAAAACAAAGCAATGCTGTAAAAGGGAGGTAGAAATATAAATATTAAACACACCAAACTTTTTTAAAAACATACATATTAAAAATAAACTATTTAGGAATATTGTAAAAACTGGTTAATATATTAAGAAGTTTCACCTGTCCAAAAAGTACCTTTCTGTGAATAGCTGCCAGAGGAATTTTTGTAAGTAGGTTGAAAAGCTTCTGATGACTTTCAGATAGACTTCTATATTGACAACTTAGAAGACTTTCACCCTACATGTTGAATAGTTTTAAAGTTTGTCCTTAACTATATCTGGGATTCTTGGCAGTGTCTCTGTCCCTTTTTATCCCCTTTGTCCCCTTCTAGCTCTCTAGAACGTAGATGTGCAGTTTGCATTCATTTACTCCTAATACGGCCTGTATTTACATGTAAATTAGTACTTTTAATTAATGAATACTTCTTAAAATCAAGGTTACTCAATAGTGGCAAGTTTTTGAACTGTTTTATCCTTGGTAGACATTCTTGGAAAAATATATGATAACATACTGTGTAACAAATTTTCTTTGCAATATACAAGGTAAGCAGAAAATGTTGTTTTCTATTAGAGGAATTTTCTACAGCGTTGAAAGTCTCTGTATTTCAACTGTGCTATTTCTATTTTTCTTTCATATCTATAAAGGGCTGCTGTTTAAAGTTATGGTGTTTTATAAAAACTAAATGAACATACACAACTCCAGATGATGGCAACCTAATCCTTCCATTTTTGTATGTGTAGAAGCAAGAACAGTATCAGAAACAATTATAAAATAACACTTAAAGTGCAAATCTAAACTATGAAAAGACAGGTAATACAAAATTGAGGTTATAATATTTAATTCTTTGTACTGTCCTACGTAACTTTAATTAGTTTGTAACATAACAGAATTCACTGTTTGTGTAACAATCCCAGTTATGCATTTTTTCTTTACTTTTGTTTGCCTTTCAGTTCTTAGCACTCTTTGTGAATAATAATGAGATGCTCTACCTGTGTAAACATATCATCCCAAATTTTCAATAGCAACAAAAACTAATTGTAGAAGTGTAACGGGTTCAGTAAAACTGTACTGAATTATGTTAAGCATTGCAGCTCAGGTCCATTCCATATCACAGTCTTACTGCACTATGGTAAGCTACAGTAGTACAACATTGATTTTGTATGTTTTCTTAATGAAAGGCATAGAATCTCTAAGTAGTGGAGAATATTTTATGTGTTACTGCTGAGCTTTCAGGTCAAAGCTTACACTGAAACATAATTTCCTAAGTTGCTCGCACCCTACTGTTGCTTGCAATTGAGCAGAAGGCATTCAAAACTTACAGTGATTTTACAGAAGGCAGGATTTGATGTTTTGGCATTTAAGGGCATCTGAAGGCAGGCTAAGGTCATTTTTTGGCAGTAAAGAAGCTTTTCTTCTTCTTCTTGTGAAATCAACTACAAATTAGTTTACACTTCTGACAAAAAAGTCACATTGAACTACCAAGCTTTGATAGAAACAGCTGTCACATTGTAGTAGCTTATGTTGCATTCTTTATTTAGTGCAATAATATTAGTAAAGTACTAGATATTATATCTATCTACATGAAAGTGATTGGCTGTCAAACAGTGTTGTCATTTAAATAATGAAAAATTAGAGCCAACATTCACATGAATAGGCATCTTGCTTCTGTTAAGAGAAGTATTTTAAACTATTTGTAGTCATGAAACCAGAAATGTTTTCAGGAACTTCCCTTGCAGTCAGATGTCTGCTAACTGCAACTACAGTAGTAAAAATAGTGGAGTCACTACTGTCAGTTTGTAGAGTGTTTTTGTTTGTTTTATTTCCAAAAGAACGAAAGAAGTGGTATATTTTCAGAATTAGGATGATGTAGAACACCTTGAGTAGAAAAGTGTGGTTGAGAGTTCAACAGCTGTAATGATTATGGGATAAAGCATCTGATAGGTTCTGGTGAGTAGAGGTCATGGTATTTGTCCTATATAGGTGATATGTTAGGGATGGTGTAAATTGCTTTTTCTTTGGCTGATTTAATAGTTTTCAAGTGCAAATTTTTGATTGTCTAGTATTTGTATTTCTAGTCTATAATACTACTTTACAGTATCTACAGAATACTCTTTAAGGTATTCAAAATAATCCAGCTGAATATGCACATAAATTCTTAAGAAACTATATTTAATATATTTCTAGTTTATATATGAATCTATTTAAGTCTCTTTCTCGTGTATATGAGCACAAAAATTCAACAAATCACATTCTTCCTTCCAGAATGTTTACCTGTAAAGTCATCTGTATTTTTTTTTCTTTTTCACTTTTTATCTACTTCCACAATAGCAGGTTAATGTCTGTGCACTATCTGTAGTTGAGCTATCCCCCCCTGCCCCCAGTCATAGTATGTCTGATATATAGAATTCAGCAGTCCTTCAGACCTGAGAAAACACATTATTTGTTACTCTATCTGTTTACACATATGCTCACAATCTTCTTTCAGAGGAAAGAAAATTTGCAGTGCCTTTTCTGGACACTTCCACAGGCCTAGCAAACTGAGAACAGGAGCTTGGGACTTGCCTTGGTTTGCATCTGCAGTGATAAGCTGTAGTTACACAATTAGTTGATCAGCTTCTCAAACCAATTGAAGCTTGAAATAGTCCCATAGTGCTTGATTTGTATCCTTATCTGAGGCTGGTAGGTGCAGGAAGAAAAGGTTTTTAACTATCTCTTCCCTACCTCCTTCTGATTTCGTGTTTTCCCCTTCTACTATAAGAAAAAAAAAATCCTTCCTGGCCTGTACATAGGTTTCAAGAATCTGTTAGATAGCTTTTGAAGAATTGGGTATTATTTTTTGACATGTGGAGGAGATATACTACATGTATGTAGTCCGATACAAAGAAAACAGAGTTATGCTGGTTTCCATTCTTTGGATTTATCTTGGAACAGGTTGCCCAAGGAAGCTGAATACCTCTATCCCTCAAGGTATTTAAAAGTATTGGAGATGTGGGACTTAGGGACATCCATTACTGGAGGACTTGGCTGGGTTTAAAGGTCTTTTCCAATTTAAATGATTCTATGATTCACAATCTGGTTCTTTCCTGTTTTAGAAAAGAGAATGTGTGAGTAAAGCTAGAAGGCATCTTAACAAATGTTGTGTTTAGGTGATTTTGTCAGTAAGAATATGACATATTATTAATCATTTGCCACACATTCAGGAATCCTAGTAATAGGATTGTGCCTAAGTTCTACTTCAATAGAAAAACATTTCTGTGTTTTTTACACAGAAATTACACTGTGTTACATTCATCATAATATAAATACAGAAGGAAAAGGGAATAGAAGGAAGCACAAGCTAACTATAGAACTTTAGAATTTTCACTTTCTTTGCAGCCACTGTTGCAGGAATCGGATCTAAATAGAATCTAAAGCACTATAGTGAATGGGAAGGAGAATTAAACTTCACTTGATGCAGAAAGTCAGTGGGCTACATACGGCTTGAGAGAAGTATACGCTTGGCCTTTTTCTTGGTATTTTTCTTTATGTTCTGCTTTCAGCCTATGTTGGAGACAGGATAGTGGATCAGAAGATTCTTTGGTCACACTGAATATGGCTGCTATTTTACTAACATTTTAAAAGAAACCTCTTTTTCCAAGCATGAACACTGTGTGTGTGGGAAAACATAAAAGTGCTTGTTTGAAAACTTAAATGTGTGAGTGGATAAATTATAAGCTTTGATCACTGTTTTGAACAAATGGGCTCTGAAACTATTGGTTAGATGAATTTGGATCAACTTTGCAAACTGGATTGAAAACTAGATTTAAAAGCATCTCAAAGACTGTTTCCAGAATAAAGGAAAGAAGGAAAAAATTTTAAATTTATGCATAAAAAGATAATTCTGACTGTAATAATTCTGACTGTAAATAATTCTGACTACTTTTTTAACCAGATCCAATATGATACTTTTTTTTTCTTGTGCTTCAATCCTTAAAGTTGACTGATCTTTTGCTAGTAAGGAATCAGATTCTTCAAGAAAAGATCTTTCGTCTCTACTCAGAATGTAGATTCTGGTTTTTGAAGTCTGAAGAAAGTGATTAATTTTAGTGGTATTCTTGATTCCAAGAACTTGCAAGGAGTAATACAAATATCTTTACCATGTTCACTGTCCCTAGAAATGCCACCTTCTGTTAAATGTTCTTCATGTTGCTCTGTTCAGAGTTCTTTCACTGAAATAAGATTGATGCTTATCTCTGTTTCTCAGCTGGTTTTCAGAGTAGAGTAGGACATATTTCCATTTGGTCTGTACTTTTTTGTTTTTAAAAAATATGAGTATGATCAACACAATGGAAACTGGAATAGAACATATTGCAAATATTATGGTGCCATCTATTGTATTTTGGGAGATGGTTAAATATTAACAAAAAATGTTAGGCATGAAAGGATGAGAAGGAAAATTAAAATTGTGGAAGAGTTCTTATTGAAAAAACTATTGTTTCATATGCTCCTGTATTTTCTCAGAAGAGGTCTTATAGTTATTGTAAATGAATACTATTTCCAGCTTCTCTTCCTTTTTTGTTTTGTTTTGTCTTGTTTTTAATGTAATAGGAACTTTCCCTGACATATATGATCAGATACAGCCTTTAAAGTTGTCCTGCTATTAATGTGAAATTTCCCATACATTCCACATCAAATGTGGGAGATTTGCATACAGTTTTTTGATTTGCTCTTGAGCAAATCAAATTATTTTCTGATTTGGTAGTCACAAAAACCAGCCTCTATTTGTCCATTTCACTTCTGAAAACAGTTTGTCCATATTTTTAACATTACAATGGAATAAATTGGGCATATTCTAACAAGAGATTGTCATAATCATGTCTGATGTGTGTCCAGAGTGTATGCATATGCTGCATTGTTGTGTACATGTTAACTTCATTAACTTTACAAGACCTTATGAGTTTAAACCTTGTTTTGAGCAAATATTTATCACAGAGCTGTCAGACTTTGAAACATCTAGTTATGGGTTTCGTTTATTGTTGCTCCAGCATTACAGGCAGCTCTATATTTTTATTTTTCTTTATTAAACAGTATCAGAATGTTTAATTCTTACAAATGTAATATTAGCTGCCTTACTCTTATGTAATGTATTGATTTATATTTGCTGTGAAGTTGTAAATTTGAAAAAAAGTTGTTATATTTATATATATAATTATATATATATATACGCATTTGTTTTATAATTAGCCCTGCAGCTGAAATTTTGTAGTTGGCTGGTTAGCCATTTGAGTTGCACTTCATTATTTAAATATAATTAATGTGTAACATCAATGTAATTCCCACCTTTGTTATGTCTCTAAAAATGTGATAGGGGGTGATTGAAAATTTAATTAATTCATTCTCCTTTTCACAGTTTCTTTCAGATTCAGTTCCCCAGTACAGGGGCATAAATATTTTGAGAAAGACCATTACTTTTTAATATTTTTAAGTAGTTATTGTTACATGATAAAATCTTTTATTTTTAAAATAATATAAAACAAGGCTTTATATTTCAAATAAAATATTTTGACTTAAAGTAGTACTGCTTTTTTTTATAATAAGAAAAGTGCATTGGCATGAAATTTTACATTTATTTCCTTTTGACCAGTAAATTGCAAAATTTGTTTTCTGTGTGGCTTTAAGAATAGTGAAAGACTTTTTATTATATTCGTTAATTTAGATTAATTTATTAAATATGTCCCTTTTACAGGTGACTGGGGTTTTTTGCACAGTGTCATAATCAGTATCTAACAAACAAGTGTGGTAGTAAATGTAGTATAGTAAAGTCAGAATCCCTTGTCCTATTTAGCAGTAGAGAAAACTAAGTGATCTGACTATATTTAATCTAAAATCAGCATATCAGCATCATTAGCAGAATGTGACATATAATTCCTGATATTTTTTCACTTCCTCTACAGTGTTATATATCAGACAGACTTACAGCATCTTTTAATTTCTTTTCTTTTGTAGATAGAGGGGCACGATTGGAGGCAGCAGTAACATTCTACAGGGTTCAGCAAAATTTTAATTCACTTCCTATAAGGCAGAGACTCACTTAACACAAACTATCAACCTTAACTTGCAGCAGAAATAATGCTTCTTAAAAAAAATTAAAATAAATAGAACAAGACTTTGCTGTTAACAGTGTGTTGTATTTTCACAGGTATCCAAATTATGAATTTATCAGTGATAACTCCATATCCTGGTCAGCAGGACTTCATAACCGATACACTGAAAACTCCCTCAGAGGTGTTATTTTGGATATTCACTTTTTGTCTCAGGCAGACTTCCTGGTCTGTACGTTTTCGTCCCAGGTAAACTGCAATGCAAATACAATGTAGATTATATGTACCAGTTCTAAATCTTAGTCTTCTTCATGCTCCTGTTATCTTGTTCTCAGTGATCTCTCATGAAAATTTTAGGCAAGAATCAAAGGCTTGGTATTTTATGTGAACATTTAGAGGACTATAAGCATTGGTTACTTCTCTTTAATTGAAGTTACTGCCTTAATTAAAACATTTGAAATAAACAAGGAAAAATATTAAACATGTTTGAGTTTCTTGTTTTGCATGAAGTTAATGTATAACTTGTATCCATCCATTTCTATGCCGCTTGGTAAGGCATTTGAAATAGATAAAAATAATTGTAAACATGTTTAACACCTTAATTTTTCATGAAGGAAATATACAGCTTGTTTCCGTCCATTTCTACACATCCTTGCATTCTACTACAGTTCAAACATATCTGCTGTTGCCTTAGTTGATGGTGGGAGTGGAAAAGATGAAGAGCACTGGCATTTAGTTTCTCTTCAGTCTATTCCATTTCTAGAAATCCAGTGGTAGCATAATAAGTGTGAATTCTGACCTCTGTAATCCGTAGAGACTTCTTTTTGCACATAATTATGTGCTACAAGCTTCCTTTCTTGAGTGATGTGATGAAGGAAATTGGAGTCCAGTAGGAAACTGAATCATATAATTGTCATTGTTGGTATTTGGTTCTTTATTGCATTATATTGTACATTAATTTCATATATCATGAAAAGCTTTTATAAAAAGCTGTTTTAAGATTAAAAGTGCAGCAAAAAGTCACCAAACAGTATTTTGTGAGTGGTATGCTGATCCACCTGATTCAAATATGGCAACATATGATTGAAATCAGACTGAATGTTTTTGACGTGCTGTTGTCATATATTCTCTTAGGTGACACAGTCACATGTGATTGTACTGTTAGATGGAAGTGGACACAAAGCTCAAAAGTTAAAATTCACTTAAAAAGAAATCATTTTTCCACAGCCTCAAATGTAAATTGTCTGCTGCACTGTAATTACAAATAAGTAACAAGCATAGTATTCATACTAATTTATGGTCAACAGTGATATGTTGATCTTGACAAGCAGAATTCGTAATAACATTGCCATAGCAAGAAGACAGCAAAACCACAAAAAGTATAGAAAAATCTCTTATCCTTCAATCATCCTTGTAGATACACTTTATTTACTGTTCGCCACACCCTGTAAGAAGACCTTTTATAGCATATTTAGAAGGTTATTAATATAGGTTATTTCAGACCAAGACATGAGTAAACTCATGCAGGATTCACTTGCTAAAAATCATTTTCTATTGAAAAGATGTAAAATCTTTAGTAATATGTGTGTGTATCCTCTTCCTGGGGTACACACACATGCAGAGAACAAAACATCAAAAGCAGTCAGAGAAGCTATAAAAAAATAAGCTTTTACAAATGTATGGATAATCAAATTGGTTTCTACGTTATGGTGTGTAACAGGTACTTCAAATAATTAACTTCAACCTGATCTTCTGAAAGCTACTTCTCAAAAGTTAAAGTTCAGATAGAGAGGGATAAAAGGAAATCTATCACATTTTTAGAGTAAATGCCTCTCTCAAAGAAGCTAGGAATGTACAAATATGTCTGGTTTGACTGATCAAAGTTCTATTCACTGTATTTTCAAAGGGAGAAAAGTAAAATCAAGCTTTACTATATTAACATAGACTAAAAATTATGAAAAAGCTCAAATGCTTCTTCATATTGAAGAAATTTGCTGTATTGTTAGTTCATTAACCTTTATCAAACTTATGCAAAATCAGGGAAAGTTACAATAGTGCAGATCAGAAATCAGAAAGCTTGCAGTGGCCAAGTCAGACACTTGACAGAGAAGAGGTTTCTAGCCAATTGTTGAAAAGAGCTTCGTTTAATATAGCGGCAGCCTTTTGTGTTTCTGGCAACTCTGAGAAGTACAACACAATTCTGATATGGGAACCTGTGTTCAGTTTGGAGAAAATTCCCTTCATAAAATGGAATATAATGACAAGTAAAAATACATCTTTCTTCTCACCAACATCGTCTTGCTGAAATTCAGTTTCGTTTACTTGTCGTCTAAGTTGCCAATAGTCATAATTCTATCACTGTTCTAATATTATAACAGCATTTTAAAGGCTTGGACTTCTGGAATTGCTTGATTGTGAAAATTGGAACTTCCTTTAGAAAAGTAAACATAAAGCCTCATTGTTGCAGGATAAACTTAGAAAATGTAAGTTCTAAAGGTTCAAAGGGAAGTAAATACAGTTTGTAGTAGTAGTAGAAAAAAACTTAATTTGTGCTTACATTTGTTTGGCTAGAGATCATTTATTTTTAAAAGCAGGATTGCTAGTGTTCATATAGATGTTTTCAATTTTTACTGAAGAGTTGACTGTTTATCAATTTGTTTATTTGTTTACCAAATCTGATCACCAGAGGATTAATTAAAAAGCAATTTCATGCATCTTGTCAGTAAATATCCAGTTTGGGGGTGGGTGGTTTGAGGTTTGTTGGGTTTTTTTGGTTGGTTGATTAGTTGTGGTTTGTTTTTTTTTTTTAACTTGGGCATTCCAAAACTTGATCTCCTGGGAAACTTACCATACATTGATTGCTGACTTCTGTGGTGTATTGCAGGCACACGCAATGTTGATGGCTTCTCTTCTATTTTTATTTCTAAGGTTTGTCGAGTTGCCTATGAAATTATGCAGACGTTGCATCCAGATGCTTCAGCATATTTCCATTCTTTGGATGATATCTACTACTTTGGGGGACAGAATGCTCACAACCAGATTGCTATTTATGCTCATCATCCACGAACTGCTGATGAAATTCCCATGGAACCTGGAGATATAATTGGAGTAGCTGGAAATCACTGGGATGGTTATTCAAAAGGCATCAATAGGAAATTAGGAAGAACAGGCCTGTACCCATCCTATAAAGTTAAGGAGAAAATTGAGACAGTCAAGTATCCTACATATCCAGAGGCTGACAAGTAAATTAAAAGGAAGACATTCAGCAGTAATTCTCAATTTTGATTGGTTCGAACCAGCCAACAACACACTAACTAATGGTTTATATGGGATTTGAATTTGCATTTTAACATGGAGTTAAAATCAAAGCCTTTGCAATGAAACTGGATAAGAAGCTGAGAACAAATGGATGGGCTATTATCTGAACTTTTAAACGTTTTTGTTATATGCACTCTCACACATGCACACACAAACCCACATGTAACAGGAAAACTGTTGTTTTATACTTTTTGTCTCTTCAGGATTTATCCCAGTCATTAGTCTTACGTGAGCTTTAGGCTCTTCTCTCTGCCATTAATTTACAATAATGTTCAGACTTATAACACTGCCACATTGTGTAATATGAGTGACATGAACATATTTTGTATGTGCAAAATTTAAAACATGGTGCCTATATTTGAAAAGTTTGTGACCTTTTTAGAAGAGCCATGCCTATTTCACAATGGGCAAGAGTCAACTTTCATCTGATGTTACCGTGACCACTGAACTTGCTTCAAACAAGATTCAGATTTCAGACTAGATTTCTTTACAAGTTTGGGGGTTTTTTTTTAGCATTCCATTGATTACTTCTCATCATTAATAAAATAAAGGATAAATTCGACAATAAAATAGTCACTGTCTGTTAGGAACTTTTGTAAACAATGCCATGAACAGATTCTTTAATAGTGATAATGTTTCTGGACATTGCTTTTGATTGAGAAAAAAACCCAAAAACAACAACCTACAAAACCCACAAAAGAGGGAAAAAGTAGCTGGAGTTTCATTGAATTTTGAAACACTGTGTAGTACAACAGTTGTGTAGTGGCACAGTGCTGCTCAGTTTTGTGGACAGTAGGTAACAGCAGAATGACTTCAGTGACTAAATTTCTTACATTTACTCTCTAGCACTATTTTTTTACCTTCTGTGTTTCTTCCCTGAAATTAATTCAGGTTTTAGAGTATTGTAGGTGGCCTCTTATCTTTTTGGCATTGAGTGTAGTTACTTTGAAGTAAAATACTTCAGGTTATCCCATTTATAGAACCCGTCAATCTGGACTACTTTAAAAAAAAAATCTAACAATTTACCCCCAAATAGTAGGTTTGAGAAAAATATACACAAGGATGAATTTTTATGCATGTCATGAGGTTGTTAGTAATTCTTAGTGTTTTGAAATCTTTTGCTAGTCAGCTCTCTATTAAGAAAAGAGAAATCACAAAATAATTTTACAAACAAATTCGTAGATTTGGCGGTTGTGTATATATATATATACATAAACAAATATATATATATATGAAATAAGGAAGATAACAAGAGATTGTTTCCAAATAAGAAGAACATTAATAACGTTTTATATAGGCTCTAGTGCAATTCAGTCTGGATTACTGGAAGTGCAGAAAATGTTTACTGTTCAGGGACTGAGAAAATACCACGTGAGTAAAGATTAAAAAAGCATAGTTGGTTGACCTTAACAAAGCAAAAGTATATTTAATTATATTTATGAATAGATGAAGGATAGTGTAAACATAATGAATGGAGGCACTTGACCATGAATAAATGTTAGGCTGAAAAATAAAAGGAAATCTCTGGTAGTGTGAAGTTCAGCAGCAGGCTTCCAATTGAAATAGTGGTGAAATGGAACTGTATTGGAATGTGAAGGAATTACAAAGTGGTACTCTGACATTACTTGCAGGACTGATCCTATAGATCCGTTCCAGTAACGTGTTCCTTAACTGGAAAACTGGTTTGTGTCTTGAAGAAGAGTAACAAAATCTAAGCTGAAAACTTCTGTTGGAAAAAAGATACATTGATCGTAGTATTAAATAGACATATCAGTGAAAATGAGCATAGATACCACATGAGATTTAAAGACTAATTGAAACATAATGGCAAATGAGTAGGAGTGACCAAGAAATGCTAAAGATGATGAATTTTTGTGATGAAAGATGCCTAGGGTTAACTGGTGTTTCTGTATCTTGGAACTAGAAGCGGCTTGATGTTATTTTCCTGTCTAAGTGATTCTGATAAATTTTCCACTAACTTAGGCAAACATGATATTTCAGAGGTACAAAGGTAGGGTAAATTATAATTTTTTTAAATTTTATTTTGAATTGTACAGATAAAGCTATTACTGCTTTCTTTTTCAGTTTGAAAAAAAATAATCCAAACTGATGCACATTTCTTCCTCAACAATTAAATCAATTCATTTTATCTTTGGGAAAACTAATTTAATTGTTTCTCCACAAATACTACATTATCTGTTTGATATTTATAGATTTTGAAAAGGTTTTATTTTTTAAGCTCTTTACTTATGACTTCAGAGCTCATAATTTCTTGCTCATTTTTAGAGTGTGATTCACAAATAAGATTCATAAATAAATGAACATATGAAAATTCCTCCAGAATCAGGTAACTCAATTGAAAATACTACTAAAGAAGTTAAATAACAGAACATCTAGGATGAGCCCAAAGGCAAGAGCAGATCTTCTGAGATGGATGGCAATGAGAGAACTGAAAACGCTGATGTTATAAAATATGTACCTATACAGTGTGGCAATTCCTCTGCAGACTATATCTGACAAAGTACTGGCAAGGTACACATGCCTCCTTACATATTCTGAGTACCTAATGAATAATTAGGTCATCATCTTTGAGAAAATGATCATGAAATGATACAAAATTATAGAGTTACTGTTAATAATTCAGAAATGTACTAATGTAGATACTATGATCTTATTCCCCTGGGTCTTATGATCCTCTGGTGCGTATAATTCAGTATGTCTCGGAGGAAGAAATCTAGCAATATGCTGCTTGCTAGATGCATCTGTTTCTAGAGATTTCTTTCAGTTAAGACTACCAGTTAATTATGTCTTGGAATCCTGGGACATTGGTACGCTAAAACTGAATTTGTTTTATATTAAACAAAATGAATATTTGAGACTTTATTCTTGGTTACAATGGAGTCCAGGTAACATGTAACATCCATGGGTAAGTGGAAGAGAGAACCCCAGATTTTTTATTGTAGCTCACAGAAAAGTAAAATAACAGGAAATAAAAATGTTGTCTTTAATTCCTGAAAGAAAGCTGAATCTTTTGAAGGTTGTGAACTCATTAAGATACTAGCTGGAATGCTTGCAAGGAAGCAAGTGTACATCATGTTTCTTCTGTTCACCTTGTAGCTGTGCAACAGTCCAGTCATGTAATTTTTGCCTCATACCGAACCACCTTCTCAGACATCCATAAAACAAAGAGCTTTCATACTCTCTTAACTACTGTTTAATTAAACTTTCCTCTTTAAGAAACATTTGTATGTGTGTGTGCATGTTGTGTACATAAAAACGATATGAACAGCACTGTTTTGTTCTTTGCTATTTTACATTATCGCTGTCACATTCTCTGTAAAAACTTACTTGCCAGGTAAATGTAGTCTCTGGAAGCTCTCATGCTGCTTACCAGTCAAGAAATTTATTCTGGGTTGTTCAGTTAACTAGTCTTCTGTGACAGTGGTCACCTGGGGTCATCATCTGTGGTTTGCTGCTACCACCAACCTGAATTCTGTCCTTGATTTGGCCTGTGGTCAAATGCGTGGGATTTACAAGCCTTCTCTACCAACATCCTACCCATGTGAACTGTTGAGTATTATGTATTTCTTTATGAAGGATTATGTTTTATTTCAAAACTTTAAAATATTTTTAAATGTTTATCTTCAGATAAGTCTTTTGTTTATCCCTTCTATCACTGAATTTTAAGGAAGTTTTAAGGAAACCATTGAGTTTTAAGGAAACCATAAAGATTTCTCTCCTATACCAATTTTTCAGAAAGGAGAACTGGTGATAACTTTCTTACAGAGAGATACTCACAATGTAAAAGTTTCCTCCATAATGGGTTTTATGTTTCTTTGGTATGAAATTATAAAATAAGGATCTTGTCTTCTGAGCTAGGAACATAATAGAAAATAAATAGAACATTTTCATGAAAAATTGTTGATAGGGGGAGGGAGATTTTCTTTCATGCAAGTGGAGTAGCACTATTTGAAATTTTTTCCAAACAATGAATTGAGCTTGATTTTTCCTCATCATTAGTTTCTTCACAATGCAATCTCTGATGTGTCTGAGGAATACAGGTAAAAATAATTTGCTTAGTCTGGGAGATGGGGAGGAAATAATCTAATAAGAAGACACAAATAAACATTTCAGTACTGGGTTAAGGCCCTCTGCCAGCGAAATCATTCTACTCTTTGCCAGAAATACTTAGAATTTGCAACCTTCATTTTGATTTTGCCTAATACCAGTCCCAGTCACATATACAAAAGTCATGCTGGTCATATTCTGATCATTGGTTGTTACTACGTATATTACAGTTTTATTCCTATTTTGGTGGCTTGGAAGCAGGTTGTCAAAGGGCACAAAAGGCTGTTTGGCTTTCTTATTGTATTGAACTAAAATTGCATTTTAAACTCACAAAAATTCCATTTACCTAAGGCGCCACTAGAATTATTATTGTAGGCTACAGATTTTGTCAAGGTCCTCTATATGCACCTGCAAGCATATCTGGAGCAAGACTGAAGCAAAGTAAGTTAGGTATGAATATCAACTGTATGCAGGTTAGACTTCATAGTATCCTGTTCATTTCTAAAAAACATGAAATGTGGCACTGCATGATACAAATAAGAGGATAGTAAAAAATTCCCAGATCTGCAAAAAAAAGTTGCTAGTCTGCTTGAATGCATCACTGTGTACAAGATTATTCCAGAATCTAAGTATGTAAGACAGAAATCTTCAACATTACTCAAGAATCCCATCCACTGATGTGTTTGCTGGTCTTAACCCCTTTTGGTACCATGTTTGCTGTTCAGTGGAGTTCCTCTATTTTGTGTGCTTGTTTCCTTTGACTTATCTTGTCAGCAGAATCCTATTGCCACTGCGAATCAAGCAAGTTTGGATTAATGCAAAGTCATGACAACTTTTGCACAAAAATGTCTTTACTGTTGCTCAAAATTAACTTCACACTCTTAGGCTGACTCCTTAAGAGATGCTGTTGAGGGAAGGAGCTGTCTCCACTGGACTATACATGTTTTATAACTGCTGGCACACACATGTACTGGTTTTACTTTCAGTTTTGCATTATTTTCTCACTTCATAAAGACTTGAGATTTTGCTTTCATTTTGATATATTTATGAAGGTTTTCCTGGAGCACGGCGAGATAAAGTCTCAACTATCCTGCATTTTCTTCAAGAAGTATAACAGACCTTACCCTGTTTCCTCTAACTGCCTTAAAAACATCCTTCAGTCGCACCATTTTAATAGAATCAGATAGATCTATGCTTCTGGAAGACTATGGAGTTTTTTTACTCTTCCAATAGCCTTGCTGCCTACTTGCATTTGATCCTGGCCTACCATGGTTGTAGGAACCTTTGTCAAACCTTTCTGCTTTGCATATTTTGATTTCCTTGCCTAGTGGTCATTACTTGACTGAGAGTCCAAGGGACAAAGGTCTGTATTTGGTTTTTCATAATAACATGTGAAATTGTATTACTGGCAGATTATTTTTTTTATGAATTGCATTTTTTGTTTTGTCCCTAATTGGTATAGTCAAGGATTCAAAGAGTAAACACTGTAATCTGATGTGCCTGAGAAGTGTTTAGGGGGGCTTACAAGGCATAGAAATTCCTTATGTAATCAGGTTTACAGCTCATAGCATGACAAGTATCTTGACTAGATGAAAGATGTATTCCTATAGAATTCCCTGTTCATTTTTGCCTACTGCTCATTATACACTTATGCCTGCAGCTTAGTTTGCAAGAGACACAATGTGAATGCTGTCTTTTTACAGGACTATACAGATAATTTTCTTCTCTTCAACCTTAGAATCCTTTATTTTAGTTTAGTTTTAGTATTCTTACTTTCTGGCAAGTTTGGCTTTTTTTTTTTTTTCCTTTTTTTAATAATACAGCTGCACTATTCTCAATTACTGCACTGCGAACAGTGCCACAAGGATATTACAGCTCAGCTGTGAGAAGCCACTGAATGTTAAGATTTCTGTCCGATTCGGCTGTCTACAAAAGATCCGTCTGTTAAAGAAGCCCAAGTATGTTTGTTGATACCTTTCCAAACAGTAGCAACCTGGAAGAATGGAAGGGAATCAAAAACCAGGACATCATACTTTGTTCTTTGTGAATGGGAAGGAACTGGGCCTGTGTTATGTCTAACTGAGATGCTGGAAAGCAATTAACTAGTTGGTGAGAGTAGTTTGCTTCACTGCTTCGGCTTATTGCTGGAGAATGAACTGTGACAAGTTTATAATTCTAAATATGTGGTCAGTTTGTGACATCTATAAAATTTTGTTTTCACTTGAGAATAAAGTTGTTATACACAATAAGTTCAGACTTGTGGGATGGAGTTCGTTTTGCATGAGTATTTCTTAAAATGATTGTTGCTTATGACTAATATTCAGTTATTCAGTAAAGATAGAAAAATCTTGTTGGGCTGATTTTACCATTTTTTTAACCTCTATGTCAGTCGAGGTTATACAGAGGCTAGCACTAGTGAACCTTTATGTAATAGATTTAGGACTGATGGATTTGTTTGCTTACTTGTTTCTTCTGTTTATATACAACAGAGAAAAATGTTTTATTAACGTTACAAAATTATAGTTACAATGCATCTACCTGCTCAAAATGTATTTCTTTAGGGCTGCTAATGTGTTATGAGCTACTCTTCATTACACTGATTCATATTAGCTGATGTTTGTATGTTTCTGAGTGTATTGCTCATTCCTTTTGTCCAGTGTTTAGACTGTAAGATTTATGATCCTCTAGTGCTTTTTTGTGTTTTGAACACTCTTGTCCTACTAGGATTCTTGTCGTTCAGTAGGATCCCTAGACAGTACAGTAATATAAATAATAATTGTAGTCATAAAATGTGTTAAACATTTACCCTAAACTGTTAAATTCAATATGAATTTTTTTGAGTTTGCTTTTATTTATTTTACATTTATATTTTGTTATATGTATTGCTTATTTGCCTTCATGTGTACATGAAAAGAAATTCTTAAAAAAACCCCAGCAAATCCAAATATACAGGAATACAGATACAGGAAGTTATCTTAGTTCCTTCCTACATGCTGATGACCTTTGCCATTGATAGCATATTTATATGTTTGGTTCTGAAACAGCACGATGATTTAAGAAATTATGTTGTGTACTTTTTTTGCTCTTATTCCTTCTCTTGAAATTTAATAACTGACCATATGTATGCTAAATCTATTCCATTGTGGATTCAAACAGATTCATAATCATGCTGATCGGTTTGGTATATATTAGTCAATGAGAATTTTTGCAGTAAGCATGAATGTGTATCCTTTATTTCTGTGCTTCTAAAATTGAATGTAGGAGAGTAAATGTAAGGACCATTGGAATAATAGGCTTTTCTCACCTTTTGCTGAACTGTCTAGAGCTTACTCATGCTGATTTTCATTCTCAAGAAAACACAGTGTAGGAATATGCTCTCAAGGTCAGATGCATGCACCATAGACAGTTATGTATGTAATATGAAGGTATAAAATCTGTTGAAGAGTCTGGAGAAACCTCTAGAAGATGAGGATGCGACCAAGGCAATGGTTGGCTTGATATGAAGGAGTTTATCTGCCAATGCGATTACCGGAGGTCTTGTTGTTGTTGTTCTCTTCTTGGGCTGCCCCTTCAGGGTTCGTTTTACAGACATACATTATTTTGTGATGAATTCATGCTGGATGGACATTGGTTCCAGAACATTCTGTTTCTTTCTAATAAGATGCATCATGTTAATACAGGTGCTCTGCTATACTACCTCTGTAGTATAACAGTTTGGATTTTCTCAGTGCAGTGCTGATGTTACTTCCTCTTCAAAGTTTTGCTTGAGGGGTTTCCTTTTGGTAAAGTCATACACAAAGGTTGAAAAAAAGGAAATAATGCCATTCTTTACTGATTTGAGTCTGATATTTTATTTCTAGGATACCTGTAATTTGCTTTGCTGGCATACAAATCCTACAAGGTAGGTTTTAACTTCTCTTCTGTAGCAAGTAGCTTACTGCTGTTGTCTGTAGATGACAATTTGATGCTGAAAGTAAGCTTTAAGCCTCTGCAAATATTTCTGTTTCTTATTGCTGAGAAAGAGTGGTGACCCCTCCTGATAGTAGGTGTCTGGAGTCCACAAGAACTAGGTAGGGCTAATTTCATGTGATACAATTTTTTTCTACCAACGCTGCCACTCTTTTGCCTAGGTCTCTTTTATCCAGCTTTGCTTTGTTTTGAAAATTATCGTGCAGTGCAGGCATACAAGGCAATAGTTTTGGCTGATTGAAAGGAGTTGTAAATGAGTTTTCTAAGCGTGTTGCTAGAACAAGGCACAACAATGTCCATTAATCTCTTCATTTATGCAATATCTTCTCCAGCAAGTTCTCTACCACTGGTGCCAACTTCATTTCTTATTTTCCAACTGATTTCCTCCCTGTCTCTGCTTATGTACAGAGTGGTCTTCTACTCTGTTGATGTAGATCTCAGAAAAAACCCTGCATATGCACAAAAAATGAAAGCAGAAAATGAAATGCAAAGAAGTTATCCCATCTGATTTTTTCATCAAATTTTGTCTTCTGTATGTCACATTTTTGAATTTTAAGTTCTCAGAGGCAAAAAAAGAGTAAATTTCGGTTTTGTTCAGACTTTTAGTCCTGAAACAGTAGACAAAAAGGTTTCCAGTGGTAAAGCTTTTCCAAAAACATTAGATCATTTAGGCCTAACACAAACATGATAAAAAATACAAAGCTCATTAAGTTCCTAAAAGTAGAACTGCATAGAAGATTACTCTGAATGCCAAAGTAGAAATACACAGGATTATAATTTGGTTTTCCCCTGGTTTTCTCCTGTTGGTTTAACAGCTCATGTAAGTTGCTGCTTATCTGTGACAAATTTGCCTTAATTAGCATCTGCGGAACTGGACAGACTCTTCAATGCTGCCTCTCAGAACAACTATATAAAAATTTGTCTCAAGACATTTTTAATCCTAATACGAAATTACCTTGATATTCTGTTATAGTATTTAATGTTTTTGCATCTTGAAGGTTTTCAGATAACCACTAGTGGGTGGTATATAACATGAGTGATAGAACTTTAACTATATCCATCTGGAAGTGTAGGAACAGCTGTTCATGCATAAGGCAATATGCTGATATATCATATTAATTAATCATTTTGATGTCACAGGATGTGCAAAGTGATCACTGTTTACTGCATAACCGTATGGCTAGCAAATGATTTGTGACATCATTGTCCATTTAACTGAGGTGTTTTTATTAAAGAACAGTAGCTATGACTAACAACGTTTCCTTATTTTAATTTGAAGTCTCTCACTTGTTTATTATGGCACACACTCAGTGACTGAATAATAAAGTATGTGAACTACATTTTACTACTGGAGACAGGTTCAAAGGGTAGTTGGGTTCCATCCAAATCACTTAAATTAAGAAAAGAACATGTTATTGGACAAAAATGCTCATATTGATTTCAGTGAAAAGTATCTGATCTGGAGTCTTCAAATTTTGTCTGGAGAACATTTAGTTTTCAAAGCACTGTGCATTGGAACAGTGCCCATGTTTTCTCATTATTAGTATTTATTTGAGGAATTTTATGTTGATGATCTCAGAATTCCTAACATATGTCAGGATTCTCTTTGTTTACGACAACATAACAACAGTGTGCTACACAAGCAGACAAGACTGTTCTAAATTCCAAAATGCTTTTTCCTTCTGTGTACATGTTAGTGCTCTGGAATGGGTGCATGTGTGCATAATCAGATTATCATGTCAATATTGAAGTTAAGTATCTCTAGCATGCTTGCAATTGCAGAAAATATTTTTCCAGGAATCACAAGAGGAAGTTCCCTAGATGAGTGATCCTTATTTTCAGTAGTATCATTTAGGGAAACAAGCTTTTTTTTCAAAGATTGGAATCCACGTTTGCCTGAGGATGAAGTTAGGTAAAGGACTTTATACCGGCAATTTCTTCATAAATAAGACAGACTTAGTTCACAGGGTAGTTCAAATTATCTGCCCATTTTCTGGGAAAAAATGGTGATTTTTTGACTGATGACAAAGTATTAGTTTCACGCTGTAACCTTTTTCAACAGTATCTAGTAAGGTTACTTTGGCATGCATTCCTGACCTGTGCAGGGTGCATTCAAGAAAGGGTTAATTTGAACACCAGGAAAAATATCTAAAAAAAAAAAAGGATATGGAAATAAAGGGGGGGGGGAGTTTGTTTGTTTAATTGCATCTTCTGATGATAATGGCTGTAGTTTTCCTTGCAAGCTTTGGAGCAGTCCCAGGATTTACTTCATGAAAGCAATTAAAGTCTTCTGTCCTTTAAAAAGCAGTATCCTTTGTCTTATACTCTAATAAAATTTCTAAATTTTTTTTCTTTTTAATACTCTTCATGCATGTGTTGTCTTTCTCCATCTTTTTGTGATATGTATGTTTTTTAAGACTGCAGTAGCTAGAAGAGATTTTTGGAAGTTTTGGTATCAGAACCCCCTGAGACATATGTTCATATACTCTGTGTTTCATCATTACAGAGTTTCAATTAAATCCTAACCAAAGCTCCTAAAAATACTGATAAATATACAGTGCTCAGGTGTCACAATGGCTGTAATCTTGACTTGATTTTGAATAAAGTTGATCAAATTTTATCTCTTTTAAGAGTCTGACAAATCTTCTAGTTTGCACCAGAAAATTTCAAACTAGATACGAGTGGAGTGCAGTGCTGTGAATGGTCAAAGACAAGAATGCTCAGTGTAATTCCAGCATGTCCAAAAATTTTCACCAGCTTTAATCATTGGCAAGTACAAGCAAATAGCATAGACTTCTCTGAAGTCCTTATCTGAAGTATTTTGAACAAGCATTGTTCTGGGTATGTTTTCTAGTTAGTCATTCCTTCCATCAATACTGAAAAAGGACTAATTTCTTACTTCATTCGTTGTTTGGAATAAAATGACAACTGAATAAATAGGTCAAGAAAGAGAAAAGTTAATTACCTCTATCTAACAGATTTACCTTTGTAACATGCTGTTCCCCAGTGTATTCCTTTTTTTCTAACTTTCCTCTTTCCTTCATATTTCTGTACACCTTATGAAGTCCTTAATGAAAAAGAAATAGGAGGAGAATGTTTTCTTTACACTGTGCATAAATGGCTGAAGTGTACTTAGGAACTGAAGGGTCTCGATTTTCTGACTTTAGGTGCAGAAATGCATGCCCTGCCCTAGTGGAATGTACATTACAGCAACACATCAGGAAGAAAAAAAGATACTTTAGGGGTATGTATTTTCTCATTATTAAGGGTTTAGTATTAA